TCCACCCTGGGGGAGGGGGCATAAGTAGGAGGCAGAGGCGGGAGGTGAGCACAAGGTCTTTTATGAGGCATCAAATATACATTCTTATATACAAGGAGGAAAAAAGACAATGCCTGAACCCCAGCTCCTCTCCATTCAGCCCCTCCCGCTGCTGCCCTCCCCCACCCCCAAGCCCCTGGGTCCCTGGACCTTCATACAGCCAGGGTCTGTCTGTATGTACTGCAGCCCATGGTTTTGGGATGGGGGAGAGGGAGGCAGGAGCTGAGAAAGGAGCTGGATGTGTGTGTTGGGGGGGGGGCAAGAAGAGGAGCTGGGGCTTGTAAAAAATATATTTATAATAAATAAACAGGGCTGTAAAGGGGCTGGAGAGGCAGCAGAGATTTTGACGGACAGAAGGACTCAGGCATCCTGGCTCCCAGCCCCTGCTCTGATGGCTTCAATCTGCCTCAGGAAGGACATCTTGGGCTTATGGTGGCCCTCTAGGAGCCTCTCTCCCCAGGGCTGACGCTGGGCGCCCTGCCCCAGCGAGGTGTATGTGGGCAAGATCTGTAAAGTGCATTGTCTTCAGTTGTAGGTGGGGTCGGTGTAAGGGAATGGGAGGGGGGGCATGCAATATGGGTGAGGGAGGGCAGTGCCCTTCTCATCCCAGACCTGAGCACCACCCCCCCCCCCCCCCCCCCCCCCCCCCCCCCCCCCCCCCCCCCCCCCCGCCAAACCTGTCTGGACTTTTATCAGGATAAGAACGCTGCCATGAGAGGCAAGGTCCTGAAGCTGAAGAGGTCTGGGCTGGGGCCCACTGGAGAGAGGACAGAGGCTGGCTCAGAGAAGAAGCACTGTGTGTTTGGGGGCCAGCGTTAGTGGGGGCCCACCCACTGAGTGCACTGACAGCCCTGTTCCTCTGGCAGGTGGAGAGACATATGAAGGAGTTAGCCAGGCCCTGAGGTCTGAGAGAGGGCCAAGCCTGCTGAGGTCTGGCCACAACTCTACAGAGCTCTCTCCTAGCCCCATGTGGCTACAGGTGCTCTGGGGAAGCCTCCACCCTTGACTGCCCCTGACATCTGCCTGCCATTCTCTACCAGCCAGAGCTGACAGGGAGCTCACACTGGCCCAGAGGTCTGAGGCCACCTCGGGGATGGGGGTGGGACGAAGAGAGGGAAAAGAGGGTAAGGATCTCCCAAAGGTCCTCACCACTCCCCAGAGCTTGAGAGCCCTGCGTCCAGGCTTCAGGTGGCAAGGATCCTTCAGTCTGGAAGGAAACCCCATGGCAACTCTTGGGAGTTAGAGGAGGGGTCCCGAGGCAGGGAAGAAGTGGGGAGGAGGACATCTCTACGTGTATATATATTTTGGAAAAACTGGGGGATCTCTTGTGGATTCTCCAGACCTCCCTGGGCCCCAGCTCACTCCCTCTGTTCATCAGACCACCGTGCTGATCCGGCTTGGCTTGGCCTTGGGGTTTGCACTGGGTGGGTTGGCCGTGCCAGGGGGCCCAGAGGCGTGCAGCGGGCCATGGGGGGAGGTGGGTGGCAGGGGCGAGTGTGGGGTGTGGGGTGAGGGTGGGGGCAGAGGTGGGTAGGAAGGGTGGGGTGGGATGGGTGAGTGCGGTGACAAGGGTGACTGGGGGTGGTGAGGATGGGAATAGGAGCCCCCTGGTGGCCGGGACCCAGGGCCCCCAGTGGCCCCTGCTGCTGGCATCATCTGTGGGTGGTGGCTGAAGATGAAGTGTTTGGGGCCCTGTTTGTGGGCTGGAGGATGCTGGGGGGCAGGGCTGTACAGGGGCAATGGGGATGTGGGCTGGTGCAGGGGGTGGCGGCCATGTGGAGCAAACTGAGGGTGTCCTCCAGCCCCCCGTCTGGGAGCCCTGCCTGGCCGGCCCAAGGTATAGTGCTGGGGGCCTGGGACTGGGCCATGGGCATGGAAGTGGCGGTGTGGCCCCACAGGTGGGGCTGAGGCGGGAGGTGGTGGAATGGAGCCCAGCTGGGGCAGGGGCGGGGGCTGCTGAGGAGGCGGGGGGAGAGGGGGTTGCTGGGGTGGGAGGTAGGGTGGCGGGGCAGGGCCTGGTCCTTGGCAATACTGGGCATGCAGGGCCTGGAGCTTGGACTGCCCATCAGGCAGCACCCCCAGGCCACCGTGGCTGTGACCATGGTGGTGGTGGTGGTGGTGGTGATGGGTAGAAGAAGCAGATGAAGAGGAGGCAGAAGCCTGGCCTGTTGGCGGTGGTGGCATCTGGAAGGGCCCCTTGCCCCGCTTGCTTCCAAACAGGGAGCCCAGGAAAGATGAGGAGTTGGAGACGGGCCTCTGGCTCTTGTACTCCTCTGGCGGCGGGGGTGGGGGTGGAGGTGGCATCCTCTGGTGAGGGCGTGGACTGCTAATAACAGACCCCTGGAAGCGGGGAGGGGGGAAAGTCAGGCCAGTCTAGACTTCCTAAACCCCCAACCCTAAGCTCCACCCGGTCCCTGAGGGCTGGAGCTGGGGAACCAGGAACCCCCCTGGCGTAATGAAAACCAGTTTAAGGGTCCTGTACTTGTACATGGAACTCCCCCGCTTGCAGAGCTCCGCTGTCACAGCCACTATCTCATCTGAGCCTCTGCTGGGAGAGGAAGAATTAGTAGTACCTCCTCCTCATCCCCATTTTGCAGGCAGGGAGAATGTTAGGCCCAGAGGCAGAGAGTGACTTGCTCGGGCTCAAAGAGCAGGACTTGGAGGTGAGAGCTTCTCACGGTCCAACTCCAAGGGCATCTCTACTCAGAGTCGGCCCTGGGGTTGAGAGGGGCTAGGGAGAGTGGAAGACAGACTGAGAGACAGGCAGAGTGAGGACAGACAGAGTTGAGGACAGATGGAGAGAGTGGTTGGCTGGGAGAGGCAGCCTCGAGGTTCCCATCAGGGAAGAGGGGGAAGCATCAGGCCCCCTCCTCCGCTGGGGCTCCATGGCAGGGCAGGGCTCATGCAGAGGACGAGTGGGGCAGGAGCTGGCACTTACTTCGATGGTGCTGTCCAGCGATCCCACGCTGTTACGCCGCCCCCGCTTCCCTGCACCCACAAGCAAGGAGCCCAGCGTCAGAGCAGCAACCCCCCCTCCCCACCCTGCTGGGCTCCAGAGCTGGGTACCAGGCCTGGGCCCCTCCCGGGGACAGACACCCCTATTCCCTTTCCCCCGTTGAAGAGGGGAAGGTGGGGAGGAGGAGAGGTGGAGGAGGAGGAGTGAGAGGAGGAAAGGATGGCGAAGGAGGAGAGGTGGTGCTGGAGAGATAGAAGAGGAAAGAGAGGAGAGGTGGAGCAGTGAGAGAGAGGGGGGCGGGGCTGAGTGTGGCCCCACTTCACACTCCCTGGCCCAAACTCTGGGCTCCACCTGATCTGACCTGGCTCCCAAGCCTCCTGCGGTGCAGCGCCAGGGGCTCTGGATAAAGGCCAGTGCATGCAGGTGTGGTGGGTGTAGGAGAGGCTGGCGGTCAGTGATAGGGGGCAGAGAGGACACCCGGTCCCACATCTCCCCAGCCAGGGCAGGGACCCCAAAGACTTGCCTGCGTCAGAGAGGTCTCGCAGGGAACTGCTGAGCGCGCCCCGTTTGAGCCCATCGCCTGCCCCATATGTGTCTTCCAGGCTGCTGCGGGCCAGCGTGCCATTCACTGAGTCCTTGGCCCCTCCGGGCTGTGAGGCATTAGGCCGCATCATACCTTTCTGCTTCTCTAGCTCCGCTGGGTGGTAGTGGGGGAGATGGGGAGAGAAGGTCAGGAGCACGAGTGAAAGGCCACCTGGCTAATCCCAGCCTTCCAGCAGCCTTCCCCATTCTTGCCTGCTCTGTCCTCAGGTCAGCTTTGTCCCCTGAACAGAACGCACATCCCCCCCCCCCCCAAACCGTAGCTCTATCTCTAAAGCCTCCCACAGCGCCCAGCTCTGTTTGTCACCATCTCCTCTGGCTGGGTTTTCCCTCCGTGGCTCTCGGCCTGCTCCTCCTGCTCCTCTCCCCTTCGCCTCACCCTTCTTGTTCCCCCCTCCCCTGTCCACTCTCAGTCTGGTCTCCCAAACCACCCCTGCCCTTCAAAACAGAGCTTCACAACGGCTCGCTGATCACAGCAGGGGCAGGAAGGCCCTTCTAGTCTATGGCGAAGGACAACCCTTCCGAAGTCCACTCAGTTCTCAGCTATCTTGCTCCAGAGCAGAGGGCTCTTGAAGGACAGGAGCAGAAACCAACAGGAATGGAATCCTCTACTGTATGCCAGCAGTCGGCTGGCAGCTATGTGTACTTGATCTTGCTTAATCTCACAACAGTTCAGAGGAAAGTATCATCATCCACATTTTCCAGAGGAAGAAACTGAGAATCCAAGTCATAGGGCTGGTCCGGGGTCATACAGCTAGAAATGGGGAGGCGGGGGGAAGCCAATATTCTGGAAGCAGGTCTGCCCGAGTCCAAAGCCTGTGCTCTCTCCAGCCTCCTCACACCCCCCACCCCACCTCCCTAAGGAAGTCATGGAGACTTTTGCCTACTGCCTTCCTCTCATCTTGGTATGTTCACCCCTCTCTGAATGCCCCCCGGGTCTCAGGGATCTGGCGAACTGAAATGTGTGGACCTTGCTTTGCTGAGTAGAGCAGACCCTGGAACTGTGAAGGGCTCACCGAGCAGCTGTCAGCTGCCTCAGTTTCTCTCTGTGTGTCTGCCTGTCTCTTTCTCCTCAACACCATGTTACTTAACTGTGGCTGCTTAGCCTGGGGAAGAGAAAACTTGGAGGGCATTTAGTAAAATGAGACATAATCACTCTTTTCCCATTATATATGCTTAAAACAATGTGATGTGGCCTCTGGTGGCCAGAAGGACGGGTGATGGGGACTCAGCTCAGGAAGTGGAATGTGGAAAGGAGACAGGAAAGGGGAGGGGAGGCTAGGAAGAGGAATCACGTTTGTTGCACAACTAGGATTTTCAGTGCCAGGGTCCTACTGACATGTAGGGCGTCTCATCTACCTCACCTCGTTGAATCTCCACGACTCTGTAAGGATATTTCATCATCCCAATGTCATGTATGAAGAAACTGGGGGCTCGGGGAGTCGGGCAACTTGCCCCAGCTTACCTAGATAATAAGTAGCGTACGTGGGATCTGAAACTAGAGTCCTACCTCCAATACCCTGATGCTTCTCCCTGCTGCCTTTCAATAGAAGGAAGAGCTGGTTCCTAATTAAGGCTTGGAATAAGTATCTGAAGTTCAGAGGTAACGAGCCCCTTGTCCCTGAAGGTATTCAGGCAGAAGCTGAAAGGTTCCTAGAATGGGGGTAGGAAGGTTGGACCAGCTAACCCTCAACTCTGAGGTTCTCAGAGGACAGGATTTTGGGTGTCCGCAGGGTATCACATCAGGAAAAGGGCCAAGAGGTGCAGCCGGGCTACTCACACTCCACGCGGTATTTCTCCATCTCCTGCACCTCAGCAATGGACTCGCGCAAGTCGGATGTGAAGCGCAGCCGGTCCTGGAGGCTGGGGGCATTGAAGATGATGAGGACTTTGCGCTCCCCGCCCGGTACTGCAGACAGCAACTTGATCCCAAACTGGTAATCTGGTGGGGAAAGGGGAGGTCAGACAGCCCTGTCAGCACCGAGGCAAGGTGGCGCATACGTGAATGAGTTTTTCTCCTCTCAACTTCGATCCAGCCTCTTCTCTGCTCAGCATCCTCAGTGGCCGCCCTCGGCCCCCCCCCCCGCACCAAGGCCCCCAAACTCCTGGTAGTCATGGCCCTGTTACTCCTTCTACTCCAGACAGAAAGGCAAACTGCACTGTGCCTCTCTCCAACCCCTGCCTTCACACCTCTGCCTCTACTCACATTGCTTCTGTGGCCACCTGACAGAGCTCCTCTGGCTCAGTCCTTCAAAGCGCAGCGTGATCACCATCTCTTCGGCCCACCAGAAAACATACATATTGCGGTTCTCTGCCAGACCGCGAGTTCCCCAGGGCACAGACCCAAATGATACTTCACCCTGGCCTGCCCTGCAATGCTGGAACCAAGTAGGTGCCTTGGAGACCTTAGTCCGGTTGTAAAGGACTCCAAGAACTGGAGGTTGGCATGGATGAAGGATGAGCACGGGGGCCATGGCATAGCCTTTTGGGACGCCGGGATCCCAGGAGGGACTCACATGAATTCTGGAAGAGCTGCATGTGCATTTCCACCAGAGGAAAGGACTGACGGAAGCTGTACGTCACCAAGATCTTCTTCTTCTGGAAAATTTTGGTGACCTTTGGCAGGGGGTGGGAAAAAGACCAGAGGCAGGGTTTGGGGTAGGGAACTTCCACATGACACCTATCTCTCATAGCCCCCCTGCCCTCCCACCGCCACTGACAGACATATACCCACAAACGCACATACCCACGAGCTGGGGACAACTGAAGCTTGAGGAGCGGAATGAGAGAGACGGGAGAAGGTGCAAGTTCCTGATGTAAGGATGATGCACAATGGGCATTTGCGATTTTTATAGGAAGTAACCAAATGCTCTCCAGAAAGCCTGTTCTAACACCTCACACAGACTCCGCCACCCTGCCCTCTTTTCTGAGCATCCAGAGTGCTGCTTCAGCGCCTTTCACCACCAGGCTTTAGATGAGCGCTCTACTGGTGTGATCGCCCCCTGCTGGATCAGGAGCGCCAAGAGGAGTCCGGTTATGTTTCTTGCCCACCCCCATAGAACCCCGCAAACAGTGGCAAATGCTAATGAACGAACGTCTAGAGTTAATGAGTCTTCCTCTCAATAGCCCAAGGTCTGTATCAAGTACTTGGGCACTCTGGATTCGACCACCGGAAGTTGTGAACACGTCAGTCTACAAGGTGGTGTTTAAAAGCAAATTACCTAATTTCAGGATGGGTTCTAGTACACGGTTATGCAGAGCATTTTCTTAGTCCTTCGGACTGTGAGCTCCCAAGAATGAGGACCGACTCTCACTCATCTCTGTGAACCCAGTGCCCAGCACAGGGCTGGACACCCACAGGTGTCAGTGCATGACAGGTGCTGAAACATTTACGCAGCACCTATGTGGGCCTGGCACTCCTCTGGGTTAGGCTATTCCACATCTGACTTCTTAATTCTATCCTCATGACAACCCTATGAGATAGAGATTTGCCCCACTTCACAGAGAAGGAAATTAAGGCTTAGAGAAGGCATTGGAGGGCCTTCATCTAAAGCAGCAATTCTCGGGGCACCTGGGTAGCTCAGTCGGTTAAACATCCGACTTTGGCTCAGGTCATGATCTCATGGCTCATGAGTTCGAGCCCCGCATCGGGCTCTGTGCTGACAGCTCAGAGCCTGGAGCCTGCTTCAGATTCTGTGTCTCCCTCTCTCTCTGCGTCCCCCTCTCAAAAAATGAATAAACGTTAGGGGAAAAAAAAGCAGCAATTCTCAACTAGGGTTGACTTGGAACCCCAGGGGACATCTAGCAATGACTGCAAATGGTTTTGGTTAAAGGAGTGCTACTGGCATCGAGCAGGTAGCCACCAGGGATGATGCTAAATATCCTCCAATGCACAGGCTAGCCCCCACAACAAAGAGTTATCCTACCCCAAATGTCAATAGTGCTGAGATCAAGAGACTTGTTCTAAAGTGAAGATCACGGGGGTAACGGGGGTGGGGGGGGGGAGAGACAGGTCACGGTCTTCAAATCACTGAGGAGCTCTCTCAGAGCAGGAGAACACTCATTCTCTGTGATCCCAAGGGCCCAGGGAAGATGACGGGAGGAACCCCATTGGGAAACAGATTCTATCAATCAGAGCTGTCTAACCAGGAAACTGGCTGCCTTGGAGAAAGGCACCCTGTGTCTCTGCAGTCATGCAAGTAGAGGGCCATGCAGGAAGTTGGTTTCAGGTAAGAGATTGAACAATAGACCCTGAAATTCTCTTGTACCAGCAGAGTCCTTAAGAGTCCCAGCTCTAAGAGATGCACATCTACAAGGGTGATGAGCTTGGTTTTAAGAATCACTTCAAGCATCCTGACCACCTGAAGGTTTCAGAGGGACCCCAGGGTTACAGGTTCCCCCTCCTTCCAGCCCATACTCTGGGATATTGAGGTGAACAGGGACACTTCCTGCCACTTGCCAGACTGTAAGTCTGTCAACTCCCCTGGTCCTCACATTTTCTCCCCCTGTGCAGCTGTCACTCCCTCCAAATGGATCCAAAAGGTAAAAGAGGGGCAGAGATGGCCTGTGCCTTATCCAAGACTACACAGATCACATGATAAAGCACGTCATCTGCCACACTTCCACCCACCAGAGGTTAACATGATTCACACAGACCCAGGGTCCAAGCTCATCGCCTCCCCTCCATTCCCTCCCCTACAGGGCTCCTACCACGAGGAGATCGTTGAAGAGGAAGACTTCCCGCTGATGCAACCCTAGCCTCTGGGGGCGGTTTGGATCTGGCACCTCGTAGAGCTGACAGCAGCAAACTAGCCGACGGTGAGGAAGAGACAAGACCTAGATAGGCATGAAGAAATAGGTGTCATCAAGGCTAGTCACATGGGCTTCAGGCCTCTGGCACCTTATCATCCAACCTCAAAAGGAAGTTTACTCTGATACAAGGAGTCTAAGCAACAAAGGCCTAGGTTTGCCTTTGTCCTTGGAGCTCTCTTTGTCTAGAATGCCTTTCCTGCCCAGCTCTATGTTCTATTCCCTCTCCAAATCCCAGTTCTAGTATTTTCTCTTCCAAGAAGCTGTTCCTGATCTACCCGGAACCAGAAGTGACCTCTCCCTCTTTATGCCCCCTCAGACTAACTATAAGGCAGAAGTTCTGTCTGACAGCTTCACTCTCAGCCTGTGAATATCTCCAAGGACAGAAACTATGTCTGATTCATATCTGTGTCCCTGCTCCCAAGTGAAATGCTGGGCTCTGTGGAAAGGCATCCATAAATGTTTGTTGACTAACAGACTGGAGTGTGTTCTTGGTTTTGGTTTTCAGTTTACTATTAGCTTGGCTCCTCACCTGGGTTGGAGAGGCAAAACCAGGGGTGAGAAGGATGGCAATATTTTTATAGCACCTACCACGTGCCTTGCAGTGTGCTAGATGCATCCCCATAAAAGCGTCTCACTCTGCACCACGCCCCCTGAGGGGGAGTATCACCTACTCCATTCAGCAGGAGAGGGAAATCTGGGGCTCAGAGAGGGGTACTGACTTACCTACCACTCAGTAACAGAACCAGACCCAAACCCTGTCCCCTCTGAAGCCTCCCCAGGCACTTACTGGTTTCTTGCCGACAATCATGCGCTCCACGGCCTGCACCTGGGACACATGGTCATCATTGGTCCGCAGTTCACGCCCCTGGATTCGCTGGTAGATGCCCACCAGGAGGTCTCGGGGGATGTCTTCACCGTTGTCAACCCCTGGGTAAAGGAGTAACACAGGGTCATATTGCACGAATGTGAGGAGTGGGTAGCAGGAGTTCCCCCAAATGCCTCACACCCAGGCATAAGTGCAAACGATGGCTGGGACTGGGGGTAGAGGGCACCTTTGGTCCCTTAGTCAGGACTGGACCAGAAAAGGTGTCCTTCACCAAGCAACTGGATAGCCAGTTGATTTCTTTCCCATGGTGGGGATTTTTCCTAAGCCACTCAGAGCACACCGTGATTAAAATAATCAGATACTTTCCCCCTTTCTAACTAGCAAAACTAATGTTAAATGATATACTTGGTGTTAGTAAGAGTGCAGGGAAGTGGGCACGTATATTGACAAAACTGTTTTTCAAAGGTAGTTTGGCCAAAGCCTAAGTATTCCATGATTCTCCATGATTCCTTCTAGGAATCTGCCCTAAGGCATTACTCAGAAGTATGTGCACAGATGTATGTATAAGTGCTACGTACAGGAAAAACCTTGAAACAACTTAATTCTCACAATAGCGGGGTAGTTAAGTAAAGCTGAGTGTATCCATTTAATAAAATAATTTACAGCTATTAAAAACTTGGTGTTTACAAAAAGCACTCAAAAGCTCCTGTAGCAAGGTTAAGTGGAAAGGGCAGGATAACAAAGAGCGGGAGAGAGAAGGGGGGAGTGAGGGAGGATGGATGAAATGAATGAATGAATGAATGAATGAATGAATGACTAACAGCAGGATTCTGGGAGACAGCTCCAGATGGCCTCTGATCTAAGTCCCTCCTCCCAAGTCTACCATCCTTCTTCACTCCTGACTGTCTGCTGAGTGAAACCCACTCACTCTTCCCTCCAAACCTTCTGCTAGAGAAAATGTTTTCTCCTTTGGAAATGCCACGCCTCCTCCCTGGACAGGTGCTAAAGGAACATGCTTCATCACACTGCCTTTTAACCTCAGCTGCCAGAGAGCTTAAGCCCATCCACTGTGCAAACCCTGCTGGTCAACCAATTTGTCTCATCTGTTTGTTTTTCCTCATGTCTAGTTCCCTATTTCGTTTCTGCTTAAATAATCCTAGCGTCTGTGCCATTTTTAGGAGGCTGCTCTTTGGTGAGAGCCAGGGCTTGACATCAATACAATAAACCAAGAAAAAAGGTCAAGGTGGACACCTTCCACCTGGCATTCAAGGTCCTTGTATATTGATTCCAACTGACCCTCCCAACTGGATCATCCACTCCATCTTGACCGTTCTCCAAACAACTTTTCCTGCTGCTGTTATTCTTTTTTTAAAAAACGTTTTTTCATGTTTATTTTTGAGAGGGGAGGGGAAGGTACAGAGAGAGAGGGAGACAGAGGATTGGAAGCAGGCTCTTCCCTGAGAGGGGAGAGCCTGATGTGGGGCTCAAACCCATGAGCTGGGAGATCATGACCCGAGCCGAAGTTGGACGCTTAACCGACTGAGCCACCCAGGCGTCCCTGTGCCTTTGTTACTCGTACTGCTAGGTATGCCTCCTCTATTGCTATTCTGGCATATTAGCCATGCCTTCAAGGCTCACCTTAAAATGAAACTACTGCTTCCTCCAGGAAGTGTGTTGGAGGTGGGCTCTCCCTCCTCTGAGCTCGGACTGTACTTTTGGCCTGTCTGACATCATGGTTTGCTTTTTCTCTTGTGTTGGGTATCTGGTACCATAAGTGAGTCTGTCCCTCAAACCGGGAGCTCTCTCGGGGCAAAGGACTATGGTGTCCTTAGCACCCATCACAGGGCCTGGCACACACGAGGCACTCAGTGTCAACTGGCTGGCTGGCTGGTCAAGTGAATAAAGGAATGTATGGATGGAGGAAAGGGTATGTAGAATAATTAAATGAGTCTTAATGGGCATAAATAAAGAGGAGAGGGAAAGAGGGAGTGATGAGTGAACAGATGCATAAAATGACTGAGTGGATTAGTGTAAGCTCTGTAAGAGCTAGGGCTTTTATCTCTCATGCTCACTGCCGTAACCCCAGAACCTGCTCAGTCAGTATCTCGTGCAGGAATGAGTAGACGGACAAACAACCATTTGAGCGAATTAATAAGTGAATGCCCTGGCAATGTCCAGCTTTGGCAGAAAGTGACAGAACATCACAGGTAATTTTCCAGGGAGCAGATGTGATCTCCCTGCTCCTTCCCCGGCCCACCCCCACCCTGCCCACTCTCCCTTCCGAGGTGAAGGACAGGACAAGTGGCTAGGGATGTCTGGGGTCACCTCTTAGGTTCTTGATGAAGTCATCTAGTTTCATCTTGCGTTCAGCCTTGACGCTGGGACTGTACATGTCAGTATTGAGGAGGATGATAGCAAAAGCGAGGATAAAGATGGTGTCTGGGTTCCGGAACTGGCGCACGAGGGCTGGGTTACAGACACAATACCGCTGGCTGCAGGGCAGGATCGGGGCCAGGGTCAGGCACTAGTAATCTTTACCTACCCACCATCTCCCCGCCCCCAGTCTGGTGCCACCAACCTTCTCCCCCAGGAAATATCTCCAAGTCTTTTGGGTATGTCCTCTCTCTTCAGCTTCCCCAAGACTAGCATGTAAAAATCACAACCCCTACCTTTTACAGAGCTCTGCCTATGGACCTCCCTATATTGTGTCCTGTAATCCTATCACAATCCTACAAGGTAGCTATTAGCAGCCACATTTTACAGAGGAAGTAATGAGGCCCAAAGTGGAGAGTAACGTGTCCAAGGTAAAAGGCCGGTAAATGGTGAAGACAAGATGAAAATCCAGATCTTTCTGACTATAAGGCAAATCCTTTTCCCATTAAGGGAAACAAGTTCTCAGCAATTCTTCTGTCTCTCTACTCGATATCCTGAAGTGGTAGAGCTGGGTTTTACGTCCAGGTCTGCCTGATCCCCAAAGCATTTCCACTAGAGGAAAAGTCAAAGGCATTGGGTCATGGAGGCAAACACATTTGAATTCAAATCCTGGTTCCACCTCTTACTCACTGTATGACACTGAGCAAGTTACTTAACCTCTCTAAATTTCCGATTTCTTATCTGCAAAATGGGAATAAGAACAGAAGCACCTAATAGGGTTGTTGTGAGTGTTTGGCGAACTAATCATGTAAAGTGCCCAGCTCAGCACCTGATACCTGGTAAACCAAGGCTTGACAAATGCTAGCTGTTGCTGACGTTGTCGTCATCTATTGCATGCCCATGTCCCAGATGCTGAGCTAGACGCTTGAGGCACACTACCTCTGATCCTCACAACTGCCTTGCAAGAGAGGATTGATAATTTCCAGTTTCTGATGAGGAAAGTCTGAGGCTCAGAGAGGTTACTTGTAGACACATACTGTGCTGCCCCCCAAAGGAGGGAAGGGCAGCTTTGGGAGTGGGAAAAAAGGCACACCTGAAGGCCTCGATGAGTCGCTCCACTTTCTGGGCCTCGCCTTGTACCCGGATGTGGGACTGGAACTTCCGGAGTGCATCATCCAAATCCATGGAGGAGAAGTCCATCTCATCCACCACACAGCTGAGAAGGAAAGAAGTGGGTATGCCACTCTCAAATCCTCTACAGAAAACCTCTGACCTACCCTGACCTGCTCAAATGGACAAACACCCCCACTGACAGACTTCCAAAATCTGGACCCGTGGCCCTACCAAGTACTTATGAGGATGGAATGTTTGAAATTGAATCCATCCCAGAAAATCAAGGCCAGACACGTGGTTACTAAGGGCCCTTTTCATTGACCCACTCATTTCAGAGATAGGCAAACTGGGGCCCAAAGCAGGTCATAGGACAAGCGAGACCACCCAGAGGAGTTTTAGGAACAGGGCCAAGAGAGATCAGACCTTTTTGAAGTAGAGGGGTATGGGAGCAGGAAGGTCTCTTCATCCTGTTTTGTAAAGTTTATCTGAGCAAAAAGGACAGGCTGCCCACTTCCTCCCTCCTGCCCTCCTTTTCCAGGAATCCCTGGCCCGGTCTGCCCCATCCTGGGGTCCTCACTCCAACACATCTCTGTTGAACTGCTTCTGCCGGTTCCCTAGGAATTCCCCTATCATCTGCCGGCTCAGGCCTTTCCGTTCCAGGATAAAGTGAGCCACTCCCACCGGTGTGTCTGACAGGAAGCCCCGCTCGATCAGATACTGGATACCCTTCTCTGGCTTCCTGCAGAAAGAGGGGAGGTAGATGAGATGACTGTCCTCCTAGAACTCAGCCCTCGGTCCCACTTTGAACTAATTTTGGACCCAACCATAGTCTCAGAAAACCAAAGAAGGTGGATATATATAACTTATGTCCAATCCCTTCATGGTACAAATAAGAAAACTGAGGCCCAAGGGGAGGAAGCCACTCTCACAGAGCTTCTGAATTCCAAGGCATCCTCAATCAACCCTTTCACTGGAGCGAGTCACTTAACTGGAGCCACACTACAGTGGAAAGAAAACTAAGAGTGAATGAGAGGCCGCTCTGTGCCAGGAGCTTCGATATTCCCAGCAGCCACTGAGGAGTCCGGGGAGCATGCTTGAGCTGCAGGCTAAGCCCTTCTCTCCGAGTCACAGAGCCTCAGAACAGGAAAATGAGGAGGTTTCTCTGTCTGCATCTCACATCCCACCCAGATATGGTATTACCCAGCTTCTGTGAATGTTCCAGTAGACAAGATACTCCCTGCTTTCCAGTAGGCAAAATCTGGGTCTGAGCTATCCAATATTCAGAACCCCAGAGCCTTAGGACCCCATGAGGCTAGAATTTGGAAGAGACTTTGGGGCCACAGGAGTCTCACATATGTCATTTACCAGTTGTATGACTCAGGGCAACTCTTTTTATTTCTATAAACCTCAGCTCCTTCCTTATAAAACAGGGCCACTACTTCCCACCTTCCTGAGCTATTGTGAGAAGTAAATATAGGTGGCAGTGTCTACTAGGCTATGAAGACACAAGGCATTTCGTTTCTAATTCTCTTCTGACCAAATGTCACACTTCCACCCCACTCCTAAGCACCTGGCATAAGACCAGGCACCTAGAAAGAGCTCGGTCATGAGCACTCCAGGACTCCACCCTGCCCCCTGCCAAGGCCTGAGTATGTACACCCTGCTAATCAAAACTTTGTTTAACGTTTGTTTTTATTTATTTTGAGAAAGCGGGGGGATGGAGAAAACAAGCAGGGAAGGGGCATAGATGGAGAGAAAGAATCCCAAGCAGGCTCTGTACTGTCAGCTCAGAGCCCGATGCAGGGCTCGAACTCACAAACTGCGAGATCATGACGTGAGCCAAGATCAAGAGTTGGATACTTAACGAACTGAGCCACCCAGGTGCCCCACACACCCTGCTAATCAATAGATAGAAACACTGAAGCCCAAGGAAGAGACACACCTTGCCCAGGGCTACACAGAGAGGCTGGCTGAAGTCAGGTTAGGGGTCAAGGGCTCCTATTCCTTAGAGCAGGGCGCCTTATACATCATATCACCTCCCCACCAAAAAGGGGACATGGGGGACCCAAGGTTCAGAATCCATCCTATAGACATCAAACTGGGTCCCAAAGGAGGAAACATTTTGTCCAAGATCACACAGCAAGTCAGAGGCAGTATTAGGGCTAGAGCTGTCTCTGACAGGTGTGTCTGTGTGTGGTGGGGAGCACTTTCCATTCTGCCACCCTGTTGCTAATCCTCTTCCCTGAAAGGCTGGGGAGAAGCACCACCACAAAGCTAGAGGATGGCTGAAGCCGGATCTCTGCTTGGGGTTCAGCCCCAGGGGTCCGAGTGCCCCTAGCAGGGTAGGAAGGGGAGAGGAGGCAGGATCAGGGAGCACGTACTTGTTGAAGAGGTTGAGGCCGATTCGGTAGTGCCGCCTCTGCACCACATCGTTGTTAAAGGCTGGCGAGTCCCAGCTGTGCCTCGTCTCCCGCTGGTAAGTCTGCTTGCATAGTCCTGTGGCTGGAGGCTCCCTCAGGCTGTCCCTCGAAGAGGAGCCAGAGCTGCAGTTGATGGTCTCGTTAGAATTGCTGGAGCTCTCCAGGCTCTCGTTATCTCCACCATCAGAGTTCTCGCCTGCTGCCTCGCACTTCCCCAACCTCCGACCCCCAGCCACACCACTGGGCCCAGTGCCACTGTTGGGGGCTGGTGGCAGGGGCCCTGGCGGGGCTGGGGCTGGGCCCTCTGGGGCAGCGTAGTGGCGGTGTGGGATCGGAGCCCTGCCTGGTGGCCCCTTGTGCTTCAGGGTCCCATGGGGGCTGCAGCCATCAGCCTCATACACCAGCTGGCGGTGGACAGAGCCGCGATCTGAGCGGTCACTCAGGTCCACGGAGCTGTCACTAGGAGGCTCGATGGTAAGCAAGGGAAGGTGGGCAGCCCGCAGCCGGAAATCCCGGCACTCCAAGCACCCAGGACCTCTGCGAGTGCCTTCCTCACGGGCACCATCTTCCCGGGTCCCTGGTGGCACTGGTGGAGGAACTGGCGGGAGAGGGGCTGGCGCCCAGAACTCAGGCCGGCCCTGGGGTGGGGGCTCTGTGCTGGGCAGTCGCTCAGGGGATGGTGGGGGAACTGGGTCATCCAAGTAGAGGGGAAGGTCACTGAAGGACGTGGCTGAGCTGTCCTCTTGCTGTTCCTTTGACTCTCGCTTCTCCAGTTGGGCTGACCCTGGCTCCTCAGACATGGGCCCTGATGGGTGGCAGTTCAGGGCCTCATCAATGGACTCAGCCAGAGACTTTACCTGTGTGGGAGGAAAGGGGAAGAGGGAAGGGAAGGAGGGGAGGATGGAAGAAGGGAGGGAGAAGGGGAGGGAAGAAGGGGAGGCAAAAGGGGGAATCTTCCTGGTGGGTCAGCCAAGAAGAGGGAATCCCCTCCCCCGCCCCCACAGGTTCTCTGCAGTATATAAAATAACTCCCTGGGAGCCATTGTGAGCTCACAGAGGCTGGCTATTGGCCACGAGTCCCCTTCTCAGGTATCTCAGTCCCTATGGACCCAAGTCCTTCATGTCCCTATGGACCCAAGCCAAACGCTACCGCCTCTCTGATTCAATCCATATGACTGCCTCTGCCATCCCCCAGGGTAAACCAGAATCCCAGCTTCCTCTGAGCTCCCCGAGCCCTCCGTCTGGTTCTGTTGGGTTCAGCCCATAACATTTATTATTTGATGATCCAAACCATGGCTGGTAATTGTGCCTCCCTGTGGTATCCAGCCTCCAAACTGGCCTCTAATGATCCCTGCCTCTTGGTATGTACACCCTCATGTACCACACGGTCCCAGGCTTGGTCTGTGGAACCAACAGTATATGGCAGAAGTGATGGGATGTCACTTAGGACATCAGGTTATGCAAGACTGCAGCTTCCTTCTTGATCACTCTGTTCGCTGTTCTCTCTCTCTCTCTCTCTCTCTCTCTCAGACCCCTTGCTCTGGGGGAAGCCACACCATGAGCAGTCCTAGGGAGATGCCCACTCAGCGAGGACCTGAATCCTCCTGCCAATAATCGAGTGAGTAAGCTTGGAAGCAGACCCATCAGCCCCTGGCAAGTCTTCAGAGACTGGTCTCACCCTACAGCTTGATTGAAGCCTCATGAGAGACCCTGAGCCAGAACCACCAGCCAAGCTACTCCCAGATTCCTGGCCCTCAGAAACAGTATGAGATAATAAATATTTCTTGTTTAAGCGCAGTCTTTACGTTCAGTTTGAATCTACTAAAAAATCATTTGTTATGCAGCGATGTAACTGATAGACGTAACTACCACACTTCTCCATCGGATTTGGATAGCACTAACAGCTGGGCCCAGGCCTGTTCCTCAGTCTCTGCACCAGACTGTGATCCCTTATCCCCCATTCTCCCCTTGAGGGATGGGTCCAGGTTTCTGTCTTTTCGGCCAGCTCAGTCAGCTTCGGTCGGCTCAGCTCGATACACTTGACACAGAAGAGGTAGCCAATTAAATGTTTGTTGTATGGATGGATGAGTGATTTAGAGCTTCTGTTTAATATTTCTTTCCTCCCCCTACCTCCTACCTATACCCCTTTACCATGTCCAGGGAAGCATGTCTTGGCTGATGGTGGGGCCAGATCAGAGAGCTTAGAGAAGAATGATTTCTTCTCATATAAAGCTTCATTCATTCAACCATTTCTGCCAAATACCTCCTTGGTTTTAGGAAGGAAACTAACATGTACTGAGCAGCTACTCTCATGTATATTGCCTAGCTGAAGTGACTCTTCAAAAACAGCTTTAAAAGGAAGGTTCTATCTCCATTTTATTGATCACGTTTCAGTGAGGTTAAACAATTCGCCGGAAGTCACACAGCTGGGACGGCAGAACTGGGATCTGCATGCACTTGAACAGCTAATGCTGACAGACCTCAAGCCAAGAACGATCTCCTATCACTATCACTGCCTATTGTATTCCCACCATCTCATGCTTTTGCCAATGCAATGCCTATGCAAACAACACCCTACCCTCCCAACAATCTCTAACTTGCTAAGTCTCATTTGTCTGGTAAGGCCCAGCTCCAGTGCTATTTTCTCAAAGAGGCTTTCTTTGGTCCTCCGAGAAGAAAGTCTCTTTTCCCTCCTGTAGGTTCCCATGGTACTATATGTGATCCTTTCTCATGGCTTTGAGCACACTCTGTTTCGGGAGACAGTCATGTGCACATGTCTACCATTTATTACTGGCCTCGGAGATCCTTGAGAACAAGGACCCTGGCCGGCTCATCTATCTCTGTTGCAGTGCCCAGCACAGAGCCTGGTCCGTAGTGGTAGTAGTGTGGTATAAGGGAAAGGGCATGGACTTTAGAACCAGGCGGAGCTGAGTTCCAATCCACTTTGGAAGTGTCACTTCGCCTCTCGGGGACTCAGAGCCTCAGTCTCCTCTGTCAAATTGGGATAACGACCTCCGTCATGCAGGTTGTTATGATGCATACACAGCACCTGGCACCGAGTAAGAGTGCATCACCTGTTAGGCCTTAATTTGCTTGTGCATCAAGTTCCAAAGAGAACTTAAATTTTCTTATGTGTTCCATACTCCTAGATGTTTAACTTGTTCTAACTAGATAATTTTTCGCCTTGCCAATTCTTTCTTATCCATCTCACAGTCCCTATTCACATGCTTGCCAGGCAATTTCTTTCAGTTTGGAATATAGGCCAAAAAAAAGCCAGAGCATGGGGACGGGGAGGAGAGGTCCTTTTCAGGGATGCTGACCTGTTTGGAGAAGGAGTCCTCGAGCTCTGTGATGTCATTAGAAAACTCTCCAGATGTGGTGACGGAGCTTCCCCCACCATCGATGCCCCCTCCACAGGAGCCTCCATACGGGAGCCCTCGTTCAAGCCGGTGGCTCCGGGCACCAGCCATGGCACCCTCGTCCAGCGAGGCAGGCTTGCCCTCGAAGTACGCGGGGTTCTGTGCCTTCTCATACTCCTCAAAAGAGAACTGCATTCGCATGTTGGAAAGGATGATGCGGCGGGACATGCGGCTTTCTGAAGCTGAGCTGCGGAGCCGCTCAAAGTTCTTGTTCATGCGGTACTGGCGAAAGGCTGTCTGGATGGTCCTGGCAGCCCTGCGGCTCAGGAAGGAGCCCCCATACTTCCTCTCCAGCATTTCCACCTAGCAGAGGAGGGTCAACGGGGACAAGGTCAGAAACTCATTGCAGCCTCATTCACCTCCCTGGGTCTCAACCCACACCACTGACTGACTCACAGCTACCTGTGTATAGCTGCCTAGACAGGCCAGGCTGTGCTCAGTGTTGTGTCCTTACTTTAATCTCAGATAACACTTGTCATATGGGACTGGATTGTGGTTTTCTCTTTTATTTACAAGAAATAGATGTTCATTATGCCAGAAAAGTTTAAAAAAAACCAGAGAGGCCAAAAATGGAAAGAAAAGTAAGAAATAAATTGAGAGCAAGAGGGAGGAAAGGAAAGAGGGAGAAGAGAGGGAGGGAGGGAGGCAGGTAGGGTGGGAAGGGGAGTGTGGAGGGAGGGAGGAAGGAAGATTGGTTCGCTTAAAGTCCCAATACCTAGGCATAACACAGTGAACACTTTGGTATATGTCCTTCCAGGTTTTTTTTAAATATATACACAGTATTTTGTGCCCCTGACCTTTTTTTTTTTTTTAGCTAAACGAATCCTGTGTGATATATGTGATCTACTATAGCACACTCTTCTGAAAGTGCCCATTTATGTGTGTGCTTCTCCTATTAGACAGATTTTGGAGGACTGGCTCCCAGTCTCATTCATCTTCATGTCTCCAGTGACGGCACAGAGTCCCATCAATGTTTGCTGAGTGAACTGGAGACTCAGTGGATGTGGTGAATGGGTGAGTGCATCCCCAGGGGGTGAAGGGCCCTAGAACTAGTCTCCTGTTCTAGTCTCCTTATCCCTCCCTGAATACCGCCCTCAAGTGCCACATTCCAATCCCTCCCTTGGTTCTCCCACCCCCACCCACCCCCACCCCATTCCCAGCCAGAACCGTCTCCTCTGCACCTTCTTGTCCTGCAGGTCCGTGGAGAGTTCATAGCTGTCAGATAGGGCCTTGGAGCGCTTTATCTCCTCCTCCTCCTGCTTCCTCAGGGCGACACTGGCTGGCTGGAGGCGAGCTCTCTGAGCCCAGGGAAGGCCCACCCCAGCTGGGGGGCCCCCCATATGGCTGCTGGTGGGAGGCAGCTGGCTCAGACGGTAGGGGGGTTGGCTCCCAGGACTATCAACCGCTGTGCTCAGGTCACTGCCTGGGGCATCACCCTCCACACTGTGGGGATGAGATAAGATGAGCCAGGATGTGGGGCCAGGAGACCGGCCTGCTCAGCCAGACTGAGAGTGGGTAGACCAGATCCCTGTCCACAACCCCATCCTCCCCAGGTCCCTCACAGACCCAGGAACCCCAATATTTAAAGGCCAGAGGGGAGCTTCTCTCTTTTCCCTTCAGGCCCCCTTGCCTTCACAGCCCTCCCCTCATTGCCCTTCGGCCCCACCACTCACAGCTCCAGCCTCTGAGACTCCTTTACCTCAAGGTTGGGTCTTCTCACAGGCTTGTCCCCAGTCCTACTCATCCCTCACACCTGGTCCCTTCATGGCCATGTCTCCTCACAGCCTTATCCCCAGACCAGTTCCCTCCCAGGCTTGTCCACTCAAGTCCCTTTTTCTAATAGTGCTGCCCCCTAACAACTCCATCCCCAAACCTTCCTTCCCCTGATGGACCAGCTCACTCACAGTCCCGCCCTTCCCTCCCCCAAAACCCCTTCCCCTCTCAGCTCCAACCCCTCATGGTTCTGTCCCCAACACAGAATGGTGTGGTTTCCCTCCCAGCCTGATCCCCCAGCACCACCCCAGATCAGCCCTGACCCGAGGCCTGGGGCCCACCCCTACATCCTGCACCTCCACACTCACCCCTCCTCTGCCTAGCCCTGCCCCCTACAGCCCCGCCCCTGCCCACAGCTGCCTGGACACTGGCCTGGCCAGTTCCCAGGGTTCCCTGGCTGCAAGGGCTCAGGCTCCGTCCCGAGACAGCGAGAGGCACCTCCCATTCAGCATCCTCACAGGTAAAGAGCTGCCCTGCGGGGCAACTTCTTTTTTCTCCTCATGGCCTCCTCTGCTCAGATGGGAGAGGGGAGGCAAGAATCTCGAGGTTGAAGACTGGTGGGAGCTGAGCACTGGGCCTTGCCTGCCCCGGTTACTCAGAGCTGTTGTTCTGCCAGACCTGCTCCCATGGTGCCATGGCAACCAGGCTGCCAGGGAACCCAGGTGGCGACAGAGCCCGGGCGCCCTGAGCCTAGCAGGCAAGGTGAGGAACCACAGAGGTGGGGAAAATGGGGGAGGGGGTTAGGAGGGGAGGGACAGGTGGGTGAAGTGTGGGGGTTGTGGGTGGGGCTGAGGGAATGGTCTGGTTTGGGCAGGCACATGGTTGAGGGGGCCCTTGGCTGGAAAGGGTTAAGGGGCCACTCCCCAACCCCTACGTGGCAGAGGCCAGGGCACAGGGCAGGGCAAGCTGGGGTGGATATAGGGGGACTCCCGACCAGCAGTATAGAAGCTTGAGGTACAACAGACCTGTCAGCCTTGCAGGAAAGCACATTGGACTCAGGGCTGCATGCAGTGGGGAGGCTGCACCCACCCACCAGGATGGCTCCCGGCTGCAGGGGGAGAGCTCCATTCCACCCCTAGTGGAGCCTCCTGCCCATCATTCATCCCCATCCTCCCAACGTCAGTCTATAACACTGTCAGGCGCAAGGCAGAAACAGACTGGGGAACTGCCCTTCACCCCAAATCCTGTCTCCTCCTGGGCCTCAGGGCCTAGTGAAGTCCACTTTGGGAGTCAGACCTGGCCCAGCACCTCCCCCCCACCCCAGGCTTCTAAGGTGCTCCTCTCCACCTCACTCAGGACTGCAGGATCCTGCCCACCAACCTCTCAAACCTCTCTCTCTCTCAGCACACAGCTCAAACCCAGGTTTCCTCCATTGTCTCCTCTGTTCATGAACCATCCATAGCTCCCACTGTGCACAAGAGATAGCCCAAGTTCCTTATTCTGGCATTTGAGGCTTCTCAAAGATAACCATAGCTAATGCTTATAGGGCACTTAGCATATCAGGCACTGTGCTTACCACTCCACATTTAATAACCTGTTTACTGTCCAAAAGAAGCCTATGAGATAGGTATTGTGATTTATCTTCATTTTATACATAGAGAAACTGAGGCTCAGAGAGGTTAAGTAACTTATCAATGGTCACACAGCTATGAATGATAGAGCCAGGATTCAAATCTATGAGGTCGGACTCCAGAGCTCACGCTCTTCAACATTAAGCCATACTGCAGGCTTAGCTGCCAGCCGCTCCCCCCCCCCCCCCGCCGGTCCCATCCACCCTTCCCTCCAGCCTGGCCCAGATCCTGTCTCTCCCCAATACTCCTCTGCTTTCCACCTCCAAAACTGCTCATACAGTACCTTCTGCCTGAATACAGCCCCTGTTATCTCTGCCATCTGCAATCTGAGAAATCCCCCCACACCCTACTTCTATCAAGATTCAGGTCATATGCCACCACTAAGAAGCCCTCCTGAAGCCCGCCTCCAGCCAGAAATTATTGCTGATCCTGTTCAGAGCTCCCACACACAGCACATGTCTGTCCTTCTTTTTATGGTGCAGGTTAGCTTTGGCAAAGCGTGACAACTATTTGTGTTCATGACTCCCAGAATCCCAGCACAGGAAGAGAATTTGGTAATCTCCTAGCCAGCTCAGAGCACAAGGCCGGGAACAGAGTAGCTGGATAAAAGCTTCTGGAGGGAAGGAGTCCGTGAATGGGCCCGGGTGGCTCTGCTAATAAATCCTCCCACCTGAGACTTGACCTCCGCCTCCAGTGTCCTCTTCCAATCCATTCTCCACCTTGCGGCCACAGAGAGCTTTCCAAAGTACAGCTTTGACCATTCTGCGCTTCCACTAAAACCCTTCCGTGGCTCCTCATAATTCATTCAACAAACAAAAATTGAGCATTTTCTATGCTCCAGGCACAATGCTAGGTGCTGGAAATACAATAGCGGACAAGATACATAAGATGCGTTCCCTGGGGAGGTGACATTCTAGTGGGAGAAGCAGACTATAAATACATACTGTTGGGGTACCTGGGCGGCTCAGTTGGTTAAGTGTCTGACTCTCAGTTTTGGCTCAGGTCATGACCTCACAGTTTTGTGAGTTTGAGCCCCACATCAGGCTCTGCACTGCCGGTGTGGAGCCTGCTTGGGATTCATTCTCTCTCTCTCTCTCTCTCTCTCTCTCTCTCTCTCTCTCTGCCCATTCCTTGCTCATGCTGTCTCTGTCTCTCTCAAAATAAATATATAAACTTAAAAAAATTTTTTTAAATACATAATGTCCTTTCATGTAGATAAAAGTGCTAAGAAGGAAAATACAACAGAGGGATAAAAGGTGCGGTTTTCGATACAGTGGTCAGGGAAGATCTTTTTGAAGAAGTGGCAAAGAAGCTGAGCCCCAAAGGAAGTGAGGGAGTGGGCTGTGTGGTCACCTGAGGCAAAAACAGTCCAGGCAGAAGGTAGAGCCAGTGAAAAGATGTTGGGGTTGAATGGTGCCTGGCATGTTTGAGAAACAGCAAAGAAACCAGTATAGCTGGAGTAGAGTGAATGCCGAGAGAGTGAGAGAGGTAAGATCAGAGAGGTAATGGAGGCCAAATCGTGAAGGGCATTGAGCCCACGATAAAGACTTTGGCTTTCACTCTGATTGAGATGAGCTGAGGAGGGACATGATCTAACTTAGGTTTTACAGGAATCATCATCCATAGGATAATGTCTAACCTTCTCACCAGAGCCATGGATGGCTCTGCTGACCTGACCCCTACTTCATATTCCTCTGCGCCATTACTTCAACCTGGCTATGCCCTGCTCACCCTTCAACATTTAGCTCAGGTGTGCCCTTCCACATCTGCCCCTTCCACAGAGGTTGGCTTACAGGTCCTTCCTCTGCTGCACAGAGCCTTATGGTCTCCTCTATCCCTAAGGCAAGAGCATTAATGAGCTGATTGAATCCCCCCAAAAGGTTTTGAGGCAGACACCATTAGCTCTGTGTTATAGATGAGGGCACTGAGGCTCAGAGAGGTGATATAAATTTGCTCAAGGTCACACAGTTATTAAGTGAGAAAGTCAGGATGTAAACACAGGGCCCAGGCTATCTTTTCATGATATCTCATTGCCTCTCCCCACTTCTGGCTCCGTGCTACCCCCAGGTCTCTGCTCTTCAGCAATTCTCCCCTTTGGAGCTGGCCCCCAACTCTGGTTGCAAAGGGAATAGTGGCAGGGAGGTCAGACTGTCAGCACAGCCTCCCCCAAGAGGGTCTGGCAAAAAGGACAGTGCTTGAGGGTGTTGCCCCCGACATCATACGTACTGTTGAAGAAATAGCACCTGAGGATGTGGAATCCCTTTACTCAGGGCCCCCCAAAACACCAAAGGGCATGCTGGTCACATTGAAAAAATCTCTCTTCTCTTTCTCATATATGTGTGCATGTGTGCATGCATGTACACACACACACACACACACACACACACACACACACACACACTGTGCAGTAAAAAGCTGGGCAAGCCTAGGTTCAGGTCTTGACTGCCATTTACCAGCTGTATGAGCCTGGGCATGTCCCTTTACCTCTCTGCACCTGTTTCTCATCTGTGCAGGGCTATCTGGACTTCTAACAGGTCCTGGGAGACCCCCCTCACCTCTGGACTCCTCCCACCCAGGCGCAAAGAACACAGACACACGCACACGTGTGCACTGTCTTCTGGGCTATTCTGTGGGGGAAACTGGAGAGCATCCTCTGCAGCAGGGGCAATAAACCACGTTACACAAATAACCACAGTACAAAGCTGAAAGTTCTCAAGGCTGGGGAACAGAGGAAGTGCTGGGGGAGCTCAGGAGAGAGATTCCTTCTGCTTGGGGGTGGCTGAGCAGAATAAAAATAAACTCACACTTACAGTGCACCTTCCCTGTGTCAGGCATTTTCCGCACATTATTTAATCTGCATGACAAACGTGAAGAATTAGGATTCCTATTTTGCAGGTGAGGAAAAAGGCTCTGAGGGGGAAAGAAACTGCCAAAGGTTTCAGAGCTAGCAAGTGGCAGAAGGAATCCAAAGCTGGTATTACTTCCCTTGCTGCCTTAAAAGGCTTTCCGGGCCGGGGCGGGGGGGAGTGGGGGGGCGGGCAGAGGAAGTTGTTGACCAGGGCCTTGCCTAGGAGGAGCTGGTAGAAATGAGTGCGAGAC